TAAGAGGGAGACATGAATTCGAAGCAGGCTCCAGGTTTCTGAGCTGTCAGCACAGAGCCCACGTGATTGAACTCACAAACTGTGAGATTCCGATGAAGTCAGACCACAGCCACCAGGCGCCCCCTGGAAACACATCATCTTAATGATCTTAGAAACCAGCACACGCTTCTAAGCCAGTGCGGTCCGGGCCTGCGGTTTCTACAGTGCAGGAGATGGCCTCCAAATTCGGAACATTCAGGTTAGTAGTTGCAGAGTTGCCTGTCAGGTTCTGGAGAATTGCTATGGAGGAATCCAAATTTCATTTGTCAATTTAAATGATGATTAACACAGGGCACCAATTACATTCTCACTTCTCTGAGGACGTCTTCCACCACACGCACAATATCACACAAGTACTGTTAACATCATTTCACCTAGCAAAAACAATGCCTTCTGTTTGCAGCTTTTTCTCCCTTCAAGAATCAAGGAGAACATGGACAAAAGGTACCAATTGTACTGTTGTGCTCACACATCTTCCGTGCAGGCCAATTAAGGTGCATCGCACCTTTTGTCCGTTCTCCTTGGATTGTCTTCTCTTTGAAGGGCCTTTTCCCGAAACCAGAGAATGGTCCTGAGCATTGTTTTGCTAGATTGAAATGATGTTAACAGGGGCCACTTGTGTGATGTGTGCTGTGGTGAAGACGCCCACGCCTCAGAAGTGAGAATGACCTTATGCCCCGCAGTTAAAGTCATCATTTAAATTGAATGAAATGAAATTTAGTTCCTCCATTATACTAGCTGTATTTGCATTCTCCCAAAGTCACAGGCAACCCATGGCTACTGTACTGAATGGTTCAGATTTAGAGTATTCCACCACTGTGTAGAAATCTCAAGTTGGACCTGCACTGGCTTAGAAGCTGTGCTGGTTTTATAAGGTGAATCATTAAGATGATGTGTTTTCCGGGTGGCTCACAAAGGCCAGTTGAGTGTTCGACTTCGGCTCAGGTCATGATCTCACAGCTTGTGAGAGTTCAGTGATTGGGCTCTGTGCTGACAGCTCAGGACAGCCTGCTTCAGATTCTGTGTCTCCTCCCTCTGCCCTTCCCTGCTCATGCTCTCTCTGTCTCAAAAATGAATAAACGCCTTCAAGAAAAATTAAAAAAAAAGATGTGTTTCAGGATATAAAAATTAATTGTCAGGTTAACAAAAAACTTATATAGCTACAGTAGGAAGAGAAGAATAAAATGGATATTTGTTCACATTATCTTAAGGTTTGAAATTCAGATTTAGAAACGCTTGTAGTGTTTCTGTTGATGAGAGTTAGGGACCTGGAGGTCATGCTTCATAGCATTATGCAGCCCCACACTGGCAGGGCAAAAAACCATCAAGAGAGGTCTGGAGAAAGCCTGAGTCACAAAGGCACGATCCCTCCCAACGTGCAGCAGTGTTCTTGGGCACTGCCTAGAAGGGAGTAGCTTGGAGAAGAGTTGACTTTTTATTTGAGAACACCAGAAATCATATTTTACTTTAAAAATGTTTTTTTTTAATTTGTGTTTTTTGTGTGTGTGAGAGAGAGACAGAGCCGCGGAGCAGGGGAGGGCAGAGAGAGAGGAAGACACAGAATCTGAGGCAGGTTCCAGGCTCTGAGCTGTCAGCACAGAGCCCGAAGGGCCAAGCCTGGCTAATCACCACAAACCATGAGATCAATGCATCTGACAAGTCGGACGCCCAATCAGACGGAGCCACCCAGGTTTCAGAAATCATTTTACTTTAGACATCATCCAGAAGACCTCGATCTGTAAAACCTTTTGATTCTGGTGAGTAGTGGGGACGATGGCACCGCTGCCCTCCCCGCCTTTGGCCACCTTTCTTTCTGTCAGCAGGGTCCAGCTTTTTGGCATGTTCACACCGATGAGAACCAAATAGGCAAGCTGCTGTCCTCACACCAGGCACGGGATCCACTGCCTCACAGCTTTCTTGCTTCTGCTACTAGTGCGTGCAGCTGACATGTGGTGTTAGAGCACTCGACGCTTGGAAGCCCTTGCAGGTGGATCATGCCTGCTTGTTGCTAACTCAACCGGCCAATTTTGATTTGGCTCAGATCATGGTCTTGTTTTGTGGTTCAAGTCCTTGGGTTTCAGCGGCAGTATAGAGCTCAAGCATTGGGGATTCTCCCTCCTCTCTCTCTCTGTCCTCCTTGCTCATTTCCCCCCCCTGCAGAAATAAATAAATAAGCAAGTAGTAAGTAAGTAAGTAAAAAAAGGTGCCCCTCCTTTCCTAGAGCTGAGGTCAGTGTTTCCTGAATGTGGATAAGCAGTGTTGTCCCAAGCTTAAGTAGAGACCCCTTTCCTCTCCTGACCCAGTCACTGATCATGGTGGTTCACACTGGCACATGCCTGCAGGCAACGCAGTTGGGACAAGTGCAGGTTCCCGTTCAGGACTCCCATTTTGCATCCTAATGTATGATCTTAAGTATGTTTAGACCAGGAGCCTCAAGCTTGCCTCTTTGTAAGATGCTGAGGGTGGCAGGCACTCTCTAATCCTCCCAGGTCTGGGTATCATGGGGAACATTCAGTTTGGGAAAGTACTTGTTGGTACTTCCCTCAGAGGTGCAGACACAAGTTCATAAGATACCACCGAAGCTGGGGGGAGGTGGGGGGTGCAAGCACTGGTGGCTCAGTTTGAGTGTGTGTGATTCTCATTTCTCGGCGAAGTCATGATCTCACAGCTTCAGGGATCGAGCCCACGTCAGTTCGTGATGGAGCCCGTTTAATGCCTCTCCCTCTCTGCCTCTTCTTTCCTCTGGTCACGCCTTTCTCTCAAAGATAAATAAATGAACTTAAAAAAACAAAGCTTGAAACATGCCAGCTGGGTCTGACCTGGTCACCACCTCCACAGCCCAGGTGGAAATAGGAGCACCATGATTAATTTGGAAGTAGATGGAACTACAGGATTTTGCTAGACCTGTTTTAATCGTCAATATATGGGAAGGTGGTAGGAGTTGCAATTAGGGGTTTAGGATTCTGGACTTGCTGGTGGAAAGTCCACAAAACACATCACCCCTTCTCTACTAGGTAACTGATGCTTCAGTTTGGGAGCCGTTGGAAAAAAGGGGCTCTTGGTTGTGTGTTTCTGTCGCAGTGGGTCTTGTAGGGCGCTTCAGTGAGAGCCGCAGGGGAGCAGCAGGCTCAGCAGGGTGGCACAGCTGTAATAGGTTTGTCCCTCCAGTGCTGTCTCCACTCTGGGGTCTGCCTACTTCATATAGGTGCAGGGTACTGGGAAAGCAGCACTGTCCCAGAATTGGCCTCTGCAGACTAATTGAGTCTCTGTAAACATATCTCTGAAAAAACTAAAAGTTCAGAAAGCACAGAGGCCCCATCCATCATGTACAGATTTGTCGCCGGCGTCTGCTTGCCCTGTGCTGTGCCGAGGCAACGCTTTTCGAGGTTTGTTTGGTTTTGCAGACAGTTACTGCATCTCAAGACGCACAAGGGACTGCATTCTGGCAGTGTTTATGAGGCTTTTCCCCGTGGCTGTATCCTCCTGGATCTTGCACTGAAATGGTTTCAGCATCAGAGATTAAAATGCTCAGGCATGGGTGTCATGAATACTTGTGGTGTTGCCTCTGACCCGGGGTCTTCCAGCCTTGTTTCTGCTTCTGAAGACAGATAATTTTTTTGTGCCTTGGGCCAGGCTCCTGTTTTTCATTAACGGGAGTTTGAGCTTTTGAGAAAAACTGTGGTAAGTTCAACTTACAGTGTCTGTGTCTTTTTTTCTTGTCCCGTAAGTTGCTTAGCCTT